CCCCAAGAATAAAAAAAATTCATCCCGTTTGATTTTTTAAAAAGGAAATGACCCTAGCTAGCAATTTAAGTTTAAGCCTTAAATGCCAATAGTTTGGGTTTGATATCTGAAAAGTTGTCAGCTATTTTGGCTTTTAGCTTGTCTTACAGTCATGAGGTTTCAAGGGTGAATTTCACAACAGTGCAAGGGGCATAATTCATACATGTAATTGACAAACTATCAGCAGAGTGAAGCAAAAGGCCTTTCAAGAATAGAGAGTATTGCTATCATTTTTCAAAGTTGTTTTCATAATAGAGTCCATTTGTTTGTTTTCATGAGGTTTTTACCGTGGGGTTGGAGGGGAGGGGGAATCAGTTTCTTAGGGGTTGGAAAGAGGGATAGGGAGGGGGGGGGGAATCAGACGAGATATGTCTTATATAATATATTACGGTAGGGGTGGTCTTACGTAAAAGACGCTATCATACCTCCATTTGTTTGCAAGGCTATCGGCTATAGCAATTATATTCTCATCAAATAAATTGCTATAACATCACACCTCCCATTGTTGTCCGCTACTATCTGGCTTTTAAACAAAGGATACACCTATTTATTATAGACATCGACGTCTGTGATTTATTGCTTGAAAGACAAGGAGTGATTTATACCCATTGTTTCATTCCCACATCGGCACAATTTAGATTATTTTGGAGTTGGACTTTATTTCCCATGCTGGTCGAAGCCAACTTGGATTTAACGGGATACACCATCCCAGCAGAAAGACGGAGAAACTCATAAATCTGATCGTTTTCCTCACGGGAATCGAGCTCACATCTTTTTGTTCGTCCAATACAGAGAGCCTGACTAGCACATCACATACTGACGTCGTCGATGTGTATTTTCTTTTGATATATGCCAGATACAGTAACAGACAACACACGTAGAGCTTTCAAGAGCAGCTTGTACTCTGCTTTGTGTGGTTCGCCTGAGTGCAATTTCACCTGGATTCGTTTGATTAAAGACGTATAATAGATTGTATCATATATACGACAACTAAAGAGAAAAGAAAGGTGGCACTAAATGGGGATCAAGGGGTGGTAGTGAAAGTAATTGCCAAAGTTTGTAGAAACGGCACACAATAGGCTACCAATGTTCCCAACATAAATACTGTATTGCCAACATTGATATTGTACCTCGTTACTGCCTACTAGATATAGATTCAGTGAAACGTAAAGAATTCCTAATACACGTATTGCTCTCCACCTGTTTTTCTTCAACTTTCTGTCGGCAGTTTGGACTACCTTATATGATATTTAGTTTTGGACCGAGCTTGTGCGTGCGATTTGATAGTGGTGATTTAAATTTACTCGTTTGCCTTTTTCGAGACTCAACCGTCTAACTTTCTGCAATCCAGTTCTGTTCAAAATTTCTTCTGTTAATGAGTTTGAGACACTGCGGTTCTGTTTTTTAAAAAAAGAAAAAGAAAGAAAGAAAATAAATTATGATGAATAAGTTGCCCTAAGTGTAAGCCTATTGAAAATGCTTCAGAAAAATTATGTTTTTGTTACTGTTTGAAATATAAGAAACGAAACGAAGGGTTGGAAAAGAACTACACATGGTATACTTAGATCTACATACCTTTAAGAACTTAAATCGACATCGAGTTCAATGCAGATTGTGATATACTATATTATCATAATGTACGGATCTTGGCGGCTCAGATTTTGTCAAGCCCCAGTATCAGAACAAGCGAACCAGTTGTGACAGAAATCTGATAGCAGACCGGTTATTCGAATACATTGTTTTTGCATAGCGGAGTTGGTAACCGAACCCTGAAAAGAATCAGAGTAGGAAATTGTAGATAACGTGTACTTCGTGCCAGCATAATTCTTACAGGAACACACAATACATTGATTGTTCGTGTTCAGCACAGAGTAGTGAACAATATGGAGTCTGTCTGTCTGTCTGTCTGTCTGTCTGTCTGTCTGTCTGTCTGTCTGTCTGTCTGTCTGTCTGTC